CCGTGATGTAAATATGCCTACTACAGCCAATTTCAAGCAAACAACAGTTTACCAACCAGCTTGTAACATTCCCGAGCATTTAACAATCCGCCAGTGAGAGTGAGCCTCAGCGCAGCGCTACCAGGTCTCCGTGTCCTGCACTGTCCCCGAAGGCCTCCGGGCTCAGACAGGTGGTGGGATGCCCTACCCCATGCCTGGTCTTCACACTTGCCGCTCAGCCCTTGGGGTTTGTGCAGCAGTCAGAACCCAACATGCTCCTTAATCAACATCTTGTTCAGAAAGTGTCACTTGCCATAAATATAGGCTTTTAACCTGTCTCCTTGGCAGCTACCTCTAGGAGTAGGGACAGGGAATTCATCATAAATTTCAGAGCTGGTGGATTTCTAGGGAGCAGGAAAGGCTCTTAGTCCACAGGAACTGTGGCGCAAGCATGTCTCCCAATCCCCATCACAGAGGAGGAGGACAACTATGCAGCCTTTTCAGTGTCTGTCACTGTCCTGGGTGTCCAGGCCACAGAAAATACAACCTGGCCTTTGTTTACATAAAGCACAAGAGGAAGGGAGAACCGACCTCGGTGGTTTGGAGATTGGAGATCTGCACGGGTTCAGAGTTGGAAACCCATCAACAGTTATTAAGGGGATTACAGGAAACATTTTGTAAGCATAAAAGCTGCTGCCAGAGGCTAGAGGGAGGAAACAAACAAGACACAGAAACAGGGAGCACAGACACAGAAACGAAAGGGGAGAGACAGAGACATATGGATAGAGATGGTTCTGAACCAGATTCCGTTAAACTTAAAAAGCCTGAGATGGACACACTTCTTTATTGATTCTAAGCTCTGAGGCGCAGTTCAAACCCCATTCAACCAGTGCTCCCTATCCCCTTCCTCAACTCATGGTTTAATTTTTCGTCAGAGCTGACAGCAACATACCCTCCATTTTGTTCAAACTTGTAGCCCCTAGCAAAATGCTCTAACCCGACTCTGTGGCTTTATGTAGGCCATTTCCCTTCTGGAAACATTGTCCTCCCTTCCAAATGACTTTCTCTGTCCCCAAACTCATTCCAACCCTCACTTCATCCAGAAGATGATCCTGGTTAATGGCCCTGGCTTTGAGCGCTTTATTTCTCTCTTGCTCCCTTACCACTTGGGTGCTCAATTTAGATGAACCTTTAGCCTGATCTAATACGATTCTGCAACTATTCCGTGATGTAAATGAGCTTAGACAAGTCGGGTCCCTCCTTGCACCTTCATTTCTTCAGCTGTTTGAGGAAATATCTGACTGGATGACTTAGTTTCTTTGCAGTTCAGACATTTATCAACTCTAAGTGACAGGGGCCATGAAGATCAATAGATGGAGAAATGGGCCAATGAGAGAGGGACAGATTTACGGGGTGGCCAAAGGAGGCCAGAGAGGGATTGATGGCAACAGTGTGACCACGATGTTTAGTTGTCCCAGTAGCTTCTCTTCCCCCTTCCATAATAACAGCTGGCTGCCCAAAGGAAAGGCTCTACATCCCAACTTTATTTAATGCACTTGACTAACTGCCGGCCTATCAGGCATAAACAAAAATGATATGTAGCAGCTTCTAGGAACCTTTGTTGTAAGACTCATTCCAACCCTCAGGATGAGCTTGTGCTCATCCTCTGCTCCCCTTTCTTCTTTATTCCTTCCGCCATCCTGCTGCCTGGAATGCGGATGTGATGGCTGGAGCACCAGCCTCCCTCTTGGTCTATTTGGATGAGAAAGTAAAAGGAGCTGGAAAGATCCTCCAACCAGGAGAACTTCACAGAACAGAACCTCCCTTCCAGTTCCAAATCTGATCCCTCCGGACTTTTCCTGAGAAAGAGATAAACTTTCTTGTTCAAGCCACAGTTATTTGGGGTGTCTGTTACTTAAAGCACAACTTAATCCTAAATGATTCTAAGGGAGTTCTAAAGTTGAGGAGGAATTACCAAGAAGCCCAGACAGTCAGATGGTGGAAGGTGACTGGTGGCTGTGGGTAATAGACCACAGGTTACAAGAAATGGGGAAAGAGTTGGCAGCAAGGGCAGGATAATCTCCTAATTTCTTAGCAGCAGAACCATCTCAGACATCTGTGAGCAGTTTACAAGGCCCATCTTTAAAGCCTGTCTCCAGCAAACCTCTTTCTGTCCTGCCTAGCGCTTCCAGCACCTCCTGTCCTCAAAGCTCCTGGAGCACTCTATATTACCTAATTGGCACTTGCCAACATGCCTGCTTCTGTCTTTTTCGGTGTTTCCAACTGCCAGTCCCAGCTAGATTATATGCTCCTTGAGAAAAGAGATTTTTCTTGCTTTTCCCCCCAGGTACAATGATAACATCTCAGGTTTTCTGGGCATAGTATACTTCAAATATTATGTCCGGGTACTCCCTATATTAAAAAAAAATGTTAGTGTTTAAACTACATCAACAAAACAATCTTTTTAAACATAAGACCAGAAGGAAAAAAAAAACCCGATTTGGGACTCAGAAAATCTGATTCCCATATTCACAGATTTACCTAGATGCTCAGTTAAAAAATAAATAAATAAAAATCATTGATTTTTTTCCCCCCCTGATGGATTAAAAGTGTCTTGACAAGGGTCCAAGGGCATCTAAGTGGAAAGAATGATGTACAGAAATAGGTAAGGTGATGAAGCACGACAGGTGGAGAGAGCATGATTGACAGGGTATCATCAGGACTGGGAGAAGATGCTGGTCCTAGACAGTGACCAATGGGCCATCACACAGGGAGAATAGCAGCTTTCCTAATAACACGTAAAGCCTGTGCCGGGTATCTGGGGACTTGCTTAGTAGGAAACTAGGAAAGGTCTTTTTTTAAGTGATAAAATTCAATGGCCAGACTCCCTGTTAAAGATGGTGAACTGAAGACACACATCTAATTACCTCATTAAAATCACAGCAGAGGGATTGTTTACAAAGGTGTAAACCCACAAGGACAGGGCAAAATGGGAAAGAAGAAAATAGCAGTAAATTTTTGGAAGCTGCAAAGTGGACAGGCAAAGGATAATGAACTTGACAGATTTCAGAAATCTAAGTCACTGCTGGTAGTGAGGAAAGCTGAAAATCAAGCTGATGTATATCACAGGAGCCTCAAAATGCCCTGGCACTGGTAGCACAAAATATTTCTGGAAGTAGAGCTGAAGAGAAGTTGTCAAAATAAGGAGAACAAGTGGAAAGCTGTTTCAGCCACAGCAGCTCTCAAACGCTCTTCCATTCCAACATGGGCAGTGCCCATCCCCATGCTGGCAGGAGACTGCAAGCTTATCATCTACAGAGGGTGAACCCAGGAGGTCCTGGGTGCCCCTGTGGCAGGTTCACTCTACCGAAACAGGGAGGCCAAACTCTGGCATTCCAAAGCTTTTCCAGCATTGCAAGACAATGAACGAGAGTTTCTCATGTAAAAAAAAAAAAAACAGACAATAGAGCTCAAAAGCAGAGAAAAAAGCAACAACTAAAAAAGTCTGAAGCTATGCAGAAGACCACTTTATAACTAGACCTCATCAAAACGTGCCAGCAATTCACATCCTTGGCTCCACTGGCCCTTCACTTGCCTCTCTGTGCCTGGGAAGACCAACAGCACACAGCCAAGAACGTCAGTTTGAGGGGCCTTACACCATATCTGCCCAGTAGTTCTCTTTTTTTTTTTTTTTTTGAGACGGAGTTTCGCTCTTGTTACCCAGGCTGGAGTGCAATGGCGCAATCTCGGCTCACCGCAACCTCCGCCCCCTGGGTTCAGGCAATTCTCCTACCTCAGCCTCCTGAGTAGCTGGGATTACAGGCACGCGCCACCATGCCCAGCTAATTTTTTGTATTTTTAGTAGAGACGGGGTTTCACCATGTTGACCAGGATGGTCTCGATCTGTTGACCTTGTGATCCACCCGCCTCGGCCTCCCAAAGTGCTGGGATTACAGGCTTGAGCCACCGCGCCCGGCCAGTAGTTCTCAAACTTAGCTCTGGGGAACCTGGGCTTCCAAGAGCCCTTCAAGGACCATGGTAAGGGGAGGACAGAGGCTCAGCAGGCAGGACTCCAGCTCCTGCCCTGCTTCAACCAATACAGCTTCTTTGGACTGGTTTTTAAACCAGAGTTTCTTGTAAATTTTTGTAAAAGGTAGTTCTCTCTCTTTTTTTTTTTTTTTTTTTTAATTATTTTAAATGCTGTAAGTGACAGACCAAATTCGGGCCCTATTTTTGGAGATGAGGAGACCTAGGAGCTTGTTATGAGTCAGACTCCCGCCCAGCGCTAATGCTGGCTGTGCAGCGGCCCCAGCACATGCCGGGGCTGTCAGACAGCCAAGCAAAGGTCCCTGGGGCCCAGGCCATGAGAGCTTTCTCCCTGGAGACCAATGACCTTTCAGCTTGGAGGCTGGCCTCCCGCTGGCCTCTTCCTCCTGTTGATGTTCTAGGGAAGTCCCCCTGGCCCTGAGGCCTGACAGCTCTACTGCTGCCCACTCTGCCAGAGACACTCCGCTGCACCCCTGACAGAACCTGAGCCTGGCTGGTGCTGGAATATAAGGCACTGGACATACCCGTTTTCCTGAAAAGGCAGAGAAAGGAAAGCCAAGGTCACTCAGAAATGTTCTCCTTTTTAATAGGTTTGAGTCCCTGACACCGTCTATGGCTTCGCTGGACTCATGCCCCAGGACGTATGGATTACCCTCCCCTCTTCCATCTTCCTGATCTCCTTTCTTTTCCCTATTTCGAAGCCCTCTAGAGACTGGGTGATGCTGCTTATTGACTCTCCCTGAGGGATGATGCAAACTCAGCCGACCTTATCCCTTTTTTCCCCCTTTTTTTAAAAAATTATATTTTAAGTTCTGGGGCACATGTGCAGATAGAGCAGGATTGTTACACAGGTATATACATGCCATGGTGGTTTGCTGCATCCACCCCCCCATCATCTACATTAGGTATTTCTCCCAATGTTATCCTCCCCAATCCCCCCACCCCCTGCTAATCCCTCCCCAACTCCCCCCTGCAAACAGGCCCCAGTGTGTGATGCTCCCCTCCCTGTGTCCATGCGTTATCACTGTTCAATACCCACTCATGAGTGAGAACATGCAGTGTTTGGTTTTCTGTTCTTGTGTCAGTTTGCTGAGAGCGATGATTTCCAGCTTCATCCATGTCCCTGCAGAGGACACAAACTCATCCTTTTTTGTGGTTGCATAGTATTCCATGGTGTATATGTGCCACATTTTCTTTATCCAGCCTATCATTGATGGGCATTTGACAATTCAATCCCAGAACGGACTCGGCAGAGGATGCTTACCCTGTGACGTGCTTGTATAAACAGGAGTAATTGGCCATCTGACACCCAGTCTCATCCTCCCCCAGCAGGCTTTGAGTACAGGGAGGGCAACCTTGTTGGTTAAATGATGTCTGTTTGGCATCATTCCCCCAAGCCTCAGACAGTCCTGCAGAGATACAGGGGAATTTGACGATAAGATAGACACTTGGCTTGCTGACCTCTGATGTACGCTCCACTTCGGGTCAGCAATGAAGACTTTGAATCTCCTGCCTTGTTCTGCCTTCTGGAAAAGAAAAACAATACATGTACTGTTTAATTCATACTACAACTAGAATGTAAGCTCCTTGAGGGTCCTTTTTGTGTGTGTTTTGTTCATGGCCATATCCCCAGTGCCTAAGACAGAGCCTTCCACAAAGTAGGTATTCAACACACGTGGATGAGATGAACGAACCAATCTTTCCACTACGGTTTGAATGGATGTGTCCCTCCAAGCTCCATATTTCAGAACCTAATACCCAATAGGTAGTTGCCCTTATTAGATTAGGCCTTATTAGATTGATGCCCTTATAAAGGAGGTTGAAGGGAGCAACCTACTCCCTTTTTGCCCCTTTTGCCATGTGAGAGGATGCAACAAGAAGGCACAGCCCTCACCAGACACTGAATCTGCTGGCACCTTGATCTTGAACTCTGCAGCCTCTAGAACTGTGAGAAATAAATTTCTTCTTTTCTTCTCTTCTCTTCTATTTTTTTTTCTTTTTCACCAAATACATCCCAGATTTTAAGAAGAGATAAATAACTCTCCATTATTTATAAATTATCTAATTTGTGCTATTTTGTTAAAGCAGCAGGAACAAACTAAGACAGTTTCTCTCTCATTCTCTCTTCCTGAAAGCCTTCCCCATACAGGGCCTGGCCCACTCTCAGAGTGAAGTCCAAGTCATGGAGCAGGACACTTAAAGGACAGAGAATCCTGAAATCTAAGTGGAGCAGGGAAGGAGAGAAGAGAGCGCTCCCCAGGTCTCTTCCAGGCTCTGTGATTAATGACTCCACCAAAGCAGCTCCCTTTAAGTCCCAGGACCATTTGCTAAGGGTAAATGACAATATGGTAATTTAGAAAGAAAACAAAATGATCAGAACCTTCAGGAGAGTTCCAGAGGGAGCTGAAGTAAGAGAATCCAAGCCTACCTCATAAATCATCCTCGGTCTCAGAGTATGTGGCCTCCAAACTGGAATCTGCCATGGTCCCCACAGATCCCTGCTATTCTCAGCTGCTTTACCAAGCAGCTGAGCACTGTGAGAGTAACCTCCAATATGCCAGCATAGGCAGAGGGAGGAAAGGGCCCCAAGAGCCTACAGAAGTCTGTGAGGACACAGTGATAGTGGTGGTTATTAGCAGGGAGGGACACTGGCTCTTCCTAGCCACCTTCTACCAGGCCTCATCACACATGTTGGCTTGCTCAGGAGGCAGTTCTCAGCATCACCTCTGCCCAACCACACTGGCAGAGCTCCTCGTGGGCCCCACCCAAGCCCTTGGATCTATGCTGCATGGGAAGGTACACAATATCCCCTGGACACAGAGAGTCCGAGCAGTCCATGGAGCACCCAGCAACTCTGACCACCTCACCTGGCTGTATGCCCAGAAGTTAGTCTGAATATGACTTTTCCTTTCCTTTCTTTCATTTAAACATTTTTTAAAAATAAAATAATTTAATTATGTCAAATGCCTAAGGTTTTGCCTTGCAGTAACAACAACAAAAAGCCCAATGAGGACAAAAGACAGTATTTCTTGTACACAAACAATCTAGATCATTTGGTGGTTGAAACAGGGGGAGGATGGGAGGAAGTGGGCTGAAATGGGGCAGGGGAGCAGCAATGAACACAATGCAGAGGGAGAGAAAGCCAGCTGGACCACATCTTCCAGAAGAGATCTACAGTGTTTCAAAAGCAGTGCAGCAAGCCTGTGCTCCTTCACATCTTCCATCTCCCCAGTAGAACCAGTAAGCCCCAACTAGATGCTCCTGACGTGTGAAGCTTTTCTATATTGTGAGTATGGATGATGCTGGAAAGAGCCTTACCTTTAGCTGGGACCAGTCAACACCAAGATTATCAATTAACACTTAAGCAGAGATGTGTTAACAGTCAGCAGCTAAGCACAAAGGACAGAGATGACATCAGAAGAAAAGAAATGATCACCAGGAGCAAGCTGCCCCTATTCAGAAGTTTGACAGCATGTGATGTGTCACCTTTGGAGGCTGCCATGGTTTCATTCCATCCTTTCTCTACACACATTTACTAATGTCTGCTATATGCCAGGTATTTTACTGAGCATTGGAAAGACAGAGATGACAAGATCTGTCCTTACTCTCAGAAAGCCATGATCAAGGAAGGAGGAGCACCACGGTAAACCACTAACTAAATACAAGCAGAGTCTGTGCCAAAGGCTTCGAGAACAAGGAATAAAGAAATGATTAATTTTTAGTGAAGTTTCAAAGAACTTCACCATGGAGGTAACATTTGAGCTGAAACTTGAGAGAAAAGAAAGTTTTACAGGACATTATGGGCTGAGAGCTGGGGAGCAAAGGGGCATTCAAAATGGTATGTTGGTTTCCTGGGGCGGCTGTAACAAATTATGTCAAGCTGCGTGACTTAAAACAACAGAAATTTATTCTCTCACATCTTAGGAGGCTAGAATCCAAAATCTTGGTGTCAGTAGAGTTGATTTCCTCTGAAGGATCGGAGGAAGAACTGCCTCATGCCTCTCTCCTGGCTTCTGGTGGTTGCTGGCAGTCCTTGATGTTCCCTGGCTTGTAGATGCATCATCACTCCAATCTCCACCTCCGTCTTCTCATCACTTCTCTGTGTGCCTCTCTGTGTCCTCTCCTCTTCTTAGAAAGATGCCTTTTCTGATTGGTTCCACCCTAAATTCAGAATGATTTCATCTTAAGATCCTAAACTAATTACATCTGCAAAGAGCCTATTTCCAAAAAAGGTCACAGTCAGGGGTTCTGAGTGCATATGAATTTTGGAGGAACACATTTAACCCACTCCAGGTGGTAAGTAAATGTAGAAGAAATGGCTTGGCTGCTCATGAGGCAGCTCATATTAAATCACACAAAAGTTTGCTTCACCCATTTAGGAAACATGGATCTGTTTCCGGATCTTGGCTGGACAAGGGCTGAAAGGTAATAGTCATTCAGACCCTGAATCCCAATGTCCACCTCTTGAGTGGACTTGTAGATGCCACCTTCAGGTGAAGGAAGGCCAAGATCAAAGCTCCAGGCAAGCCGGTGAATGAAAGCTCCTCCTAAAGTCCTCAGGTTTCTGTTCATTCAAAGTTCAAACTTCAATTTTAACATTTCTCGGAGTTTCCTAAGAAAACAAATGATGCTTTCTCAAGTACCTCCCCTCCCCTCTTCTCTTCTTACAACTGGGTACAGCGTGTTCTGAACAGAGAGGAGGCTTCAGTGAGGTATGAAATGAAACAAATCCGCAGGCAAACAGCAAAGAAAGCTGGTGTATTTTTAATATGCAGGCACCATTTTGGGGATTGTGGAGAAAAATTTGCCTCTTCATTTTGAAAACCCAATGCGCTGGAAAGGGAGCCAGAGGTGGGGGAGGAACTATACAGCTCTCTCCCTTCAGCACAGCCACTTCTTAAGGAAGCAATTGATTAAAGAGAAAGTGTGGGGAACCAACTGTTCACACTTGCCAAATATTTCTAAAGGCTTCAAAATCACTCAAGGTGGTGGACTTTTTTCCCCATAAAGTGTCTACAAAATCTGTCACCTCAACGCCCAGTGTTTAAACAGGGCAGTGTCTGGAAAAATCACTTTGTTCTCTGGATCACTCATGGTGCTGGCCTGACACTGCTTCTATTTTCTGCCATCAGTGTGAAATTGCTGCAAAAACAGCTGCACAAGAGCTCATCTCAACAGCTTCCAGGAGCCAGGAAGAGTAGCCTTCACCCCCTCAGGCTGGCACTTTGGGCACCCTCCCTGTCCCCCACCCCCTGGTGCTCTATGACTAGAAGCAGTCTCAGAGCACATTGCCTCTTAGTTGGAACAACGTGAACTACAGTTGTCTATCCCACAGAAGCAGAGTGCCAGAGCCTCAGAAGGACAGATCTGGGAGCAACTTCAGTGACCATCTAGTTCAAACCCTTCTTTCTACAGAGGAGGAAATTGAGGAACAGAGAAGGCAATAACTTTCTCAAGAGCTAATGGACATCTACCATTTGCTTTGGCTGTTCAGCAACTCAACTCCTTCCTTTGGACAATTTCCCACCCTAGGAGCCTTGGTGAGGAGCCTGTCTCCCACTGTGGAAGCCAGAAATGCCAAGTATTCTTTTTCATGCTATTTTTTCCCCCAGGGCAAAGACACTGGACCTAACCTCTTGCCAACCAGACACTCCTGTCCCGTGTTGTGATTGGGAGATGGTAACTCAATGAAAAGGGAATAGAGGAAGATTCTACCTCAAGGGTCATGGTGTTGGAGGCTGTTCTTAGCTATAAAAATCCTGGTTCAGTGAGCTACCCAAAATCCTTTTAATCAATCTTTTATTTTTCTCCACAGTCTATGTTGCTTGCAAATAAAAACCTTGGCTAATGCCAAAATATTACCAAGAGTTGGGTAGAAACAGGCCCTCCAGAAATTAACAGGAATCTGAGATGATTTGTTTCGTATGCTGAGGGCTACACACAGAAAAAAAAATCAGCTTAGAGTAAACTATGTGACTCTGCCAAAACATGGTAAATTGTGGCAAACCATTACATTTTTACCTGTAGTCACCTGGAACGAAATACCTATTGAAGTCAAGGTTTAGGGTATGAAACAGTTGCCACTATCAAACAATATTAAAAGCATGAAAAAAAATCAAAGACTATAGGATAAACTTCTTCCAATAGTGCTAGCTGGATTTTTTAAAACAGAGAATAAAAAAACACAAATTCTTAAGTTCTCAAGTCAAGACACAAAATAAAAACCAAAGGTTTTCTACCTGTACTTGAAGAATCTCTTTTATCTTATAGCCACAATCCTGAAATAGACAAAAATCAAGTATAAAGTTTGATCCTGCAGGTTGCTAAATTAGAAGAGTAGTTTGGTTTCTGTTTTTGTTTTTTGAGATGGAGTCCAGCTCTGTTGCCTAGGCTGGAGTGCAGTGGTGCAATCTTGGCTCACTGCAACCTCTGCCTCCCAGGTTTAAGCAATTCTCTTGCCTCAGTCTCCTGAGTAGCTGAGATTACAGGCACACACCACATCAAGCTAATTTTTTTAATTTTAGTAGAGATGTAGTTTCACCATGCTGTCCAAACTGGTCTCGAGCTCCTGACCACCAGTGATCTTCCAACCTCAGCCTCCCAAAGTTCTGGAATTACAGGCATGAGCAACCACATACAGCCTAGATTAGTTTAATATGCAGCCTCCCAAACTTTTGCTTAGGTGAAAATTAGAGCATAGAATAGAAAAGAGATAGACCTAAGAATTGGAACAGAGATTTATGGGAGGATTCAGATGATGCAGAGCATTAAATTTCTAAACTTTATTGCTTCTTATTTCTCTTATTAGCCAAATCAACTTCTCCTTCCCTTCTTATACATGTATTCTCATCTTGCCTAAAAATCTTGGAATGATCTAACCTGAGGGTTATTACCTTGCAAGGGAAGTTCATTCTCTTCATGTTCCACCTGCTCTACACCTCATTGTCTCCTATAACTAGGGTTAGATCTCAACATGTTCCTGGGACAGGGTGGGGTAGAGGATGAAGCACATCCATATACAATATCTTAAGGGAAAAGCTTACAGACAAAAGTTTATGACTCTGATCATTGTATGAGTAGAGACCTGAGAAATATGTGAGGGAGTAGATTCTGCGGGCACTCAGCCAACAAGGGAAAAACATAATGTTAGATCAAGTTGAGTTTGTTGATATGCTGACTGTGCAGTAATTCTCCATTTCATGCACTGGCTTGAGCATCTAGTTGTTTTAATTGTTTGCTGGTGAGTTGACAGAAACCTGGACTTATTGGTGCTCCATAGTACAGTACATTAGTGCTCCAGTGCAGCTGAGATGCCAGAAATCACAAGCTATAGTTTAGAGGAAGTAAATTCAAAGACCTAGGGAGATAGCAATGTTGGTGTGGATTTATTACAAGTGCTTACCTACCTCCTATGTCTCCCAAGAGGACCCAAAACACACAACCTTCATTAAGGCAATGGTAAATGCATTAGTGACAGGAGTGCCAACATCTTTATTAAAAGCGTGGCTATTCTCTGTAAGCCAAGGATGCTGGTAGAGAGAAGATGTAGTTGGAAATGAGATGCTCAATTTCAATTGGATTGAGAATATCACAAAGTAGCACAGGCCTGGGAAGAGCAATAATTACCAGAGCTTGGCTACCATAAGAGGCAGCTGGCCAGCCTGATCATCAGAATGGGCTGATTCTGTGATGGTTAATTTTAGGCATCAACTTGACTAAGGAATACCTAGAAATATGGTAAGACATTATTTTGGGGTGTATCTGTGAGGGTATTTCCAGAGGAAGTTAGCATGTGAGTTTAAGTGGACGAGGTGGGGAAGATCTGCACTCAATTTGTGCAGGCACCATCCAATCTGCTGGGGACACAGAACGAAAACATGGGGTGGAAAAGGTGAATATGTCAGCCTATCTATGGAAACCAGGATACACGCTTCTGCTCCTGGCCTTGGACAACAACCCCAGGCTCTCTCGCCTTTGGACTCCAGGACTTATATCAGGGGCCTACTGGGTTCTCAAGCCTTTGGTTCCATACTGAGAATGGTGAGAGTTACTGAGAGTTACACCATTGGCTTCCCTGGTTCTAAGACCTTCAGATTTGGACTGAGCAATGCTACCAGAATCCCAGTGTCTTCAATTTGCAGATGGGCTGTCGGAGAACTTCTCAGCCTCCATAAGCATGTGAGTCAATTTCTCTAATAAATCCCTTCTCATATATCTATAGATATATCCTGTTGGCTCTGTCTCTCCAGAGAACACTGACTAATATAAACCCATACACATCTTTGGCATGGAAGCTCATGGAGTTCCAAGAGAAAAAGAGATGGACATATCAGTAAAGGCTTTATCTTGATTTAACAGGCCTGATGAATGGAGTCCTGACTTGTGTCATCATGACTGAGAGTTGCAGTTGATAGCAGGCCTTGTTCACTTGCCATCCAGTAACTACTCACCAATACCCCTTCCTCTTTTCTAACGAGAGTCCAGTTGAGACTTCCAGGAGAGAACTCCTCCCCCAACACACAGTCTCTAAGAAAGGAAAAGTCTCTCATATTTTGGACATACTCTAACTGCATGTGGCTCCCTCAGCCAGGGTGGAAGCCCACTTGTAACCACAGAGGGAAGCAAACCAAGACACTGGGAAGGACAGAGCAAAGCCATACAAGGAGTCCACATCCTCAGTGATATTTTTGAGCTCTTGAATTAACCAGCCCTTGTCCTTCCCAGTCTGTATATATTTCTTTATGCAATATACATTTTCTTTAATTTTCAAGTCAGTTGAGTCAAGATATTCTATTATTGAAGCTTAAAATGCCCTACTGATTCTTAGCTCTTCATTCAGTCCCCATATCTGAGTTCATTCAGATTCAGTTCTCCATGCAGGAAGAGGAAGGTGAGTACCCTTGAGTAAGAACCCTGAAATTACATGGCAGCTATACGTTTAATCTTTTTCCTAGAAGTCCTCCCAAAGAGTCCTGCAGCCATTTACCAGAATATCTGTGTCCTGGGGGAAGGTAAATACCCAGTGTCCTTCTGAGGATATCAGATAGTGGCTGTAAGAAAACAAAAAATCTGAAGACCCAGAACACTACTGTGGTGTGAGAGGGTACTAATGAGAGATGAGCGATAAATGAGGTTTTACCCAAGTCCACCTCATGGTTGGC